GGGTAGATGCACTTCAATGTTGTCTACTTGTGACGAAGTGGACACAACTAGTTGATCCGGTTTTAAATTATTTTTTTTATCAAATTTTGAATTGAACAAAAAAATTAATATCTTTCTCTTGCAGATGAGGGTGACAAAAATACTAAAAATGCAAAAAATCAAACATGTCCTCACACAATGGTTCAGATTAGCCCCGTCATGAGACAAAATGAAAATGTATGACATTTTTTTAATAAATTATAAGTAGTATGTATATCAAATTAATTTCTTTTTATCATTTTTTTAGGCTATTATGATAGCCTACAGTTACGATGACTTAATAAGATACGTAAGGATTGGACATGGTCATCTAAAAATGTTATGAAGAAATGGATAATAATATTAATTTATTTTATTTATAATGATTAATCAAGCAAATTATTTTGATTTTAATTATATATACCTTTATAATGTAGAAACAAGCTTGTACGATGCAAGAGAGGAAGGGTTAACTCTAGACGATGATAGTATAGAAGCGATAGTATAGAAGAAAATAAAAGAGCTTTCATGGTTGTCATGGGTCCTGAACACCCTGGAATGATACTAACATAGGGGTTTGGAGTCACTCCAACTCAATTTTGTCCAGACACTACCACAATTATAGGTGAAAGCAATAATATGTCTATTCTGCTTGAGTTAAGAAATTAGAAGATGCCATGCACTCCTTATGGTATGAGATGAGATAATTCATGCAACAAATGCAGCCGAATTATCAACCACAAGGACGATCACATTTGGTATGATATTTTCTAAGTAATTAAATATTTTATTTCATTTTAAGTCATCTTAAATTATTAATTGATTGTGTGTTTCTTCTTAATAGGGATATAATGACCTTAATCAGAATAACGAATTGAAGGGACATCTCAAATATTGATCACATTTTTATGCATGAACTTTTATTTAATGTATTTTGATTTCTTAGTAAGGTTGATAGAGGCTTATCTCATTGACTGCAAGTTGTTTTAATCTTTAGAAGACGTTAATACTTAGTTTGTAGAATTTATGTATTTTTATGTCACTAAATAGCTTTTTTAAGTTATTGGAAACTGAAATGATGGATTAATATATTTTGATGTATTTGAGATATTACTACTATTTAGTATGATTCATGTGTTCTTCTTTATTCATTGTCCTTCTTTTTTAGGGCATTTACATGCAGATACTCATTTTCATGTATTTCCACATTCAACACAAAATTCAATTTGTACATTTGCACTATGTGTTAGACATAGAAATATATATGATATACACATGTTTTTTGAAAATGTCTATACTTTTAAAAATTAATTAAAAAAATATTGAAATTAGCAGCCCGTAAAACCACTGCAAAGATTAATCGTAGCTAAGGATCACTGCTGTCATAATTCTTTGCAACACTAATAATTAGCAGTGGTTTTAACTGCTATAATAAAACAGTTAAAACCGCTGCAAAAGTTAGCATCACCAAAAATCTTTCCCAATGGTTTTAGAACTACTATTACAAGTTTTTGCAGTGCTAATAATTAGCAGCGGGTTTAACTGCTACAATGATACTTGCAGTTAAAACCGCTACATAAGACATCGCTGCTAAGACCCTTCCCTGATGATTTAAAAACCGCTGTAAAGAGCCTGTCCACGGCTAGCAAATTCTGTTGTTTTTAAAACCGCTGCAATCAAAATAGCAACAGTTTTTTCTGCTATGATGACATGTATAAAGTGCCCCGAAAAACACTTTTTTTAGTAGGTAAGGTTGCTGACCATGTTCAAATTTAGTTCAAATAAGATTAGCACAACATTCACAAGGCTTAATCTTATCCAAAAGTTTATTGAACATGTTTCATCAATCCTCGATCTGGTTCTACTATGGCCTCTATCAAAACATTCATTGCTCAAAGCAAATATAAAGTAAATGGGTCATTTTCTTAAACACTTTGATCCAGCCTAAAAGATTCTTCAATCATTTAGGAAGTTACCTATAGCTGCTAAAGTTGGATTAAACTACTTTGTTCAATTAAACCACATCATCGTGTTCTCTTTTTCCAAATGTAAAAATAAATTTTACATGATAGGACGAAGTATTCTACAATGACTATGGAGAAAATATAGCCAAGGGGCCATTAAAAGTATATGGATGAGATGTGAATGATGTTGTTTAGTATCTTAAACCTGTCATAGTTCAAAAAGAGTACAAATAGATAGGCATGTTAAGGTTATTTTTCTTTCAAATTAGCTTTGAGGCCAATTTATTTAAATATATTTTTATTATAGCTATTTTTAAAATTTTTAAATATTAATTTTGTTGTTAAAGAATACCATAAATCAATTCCAAATTGGAGCTTGTTTGTTTTGTTGGGTTGACATGTTTGCTTGGCTTGTCGGGTGCTAGCTTTTGAGTACTGAATGCTGAGTTGGCATACCGTGCTCTCTTATTGAGTACCGGCCGTCGAACTCAGCTGTAGAGTGGCTTCCACTAACAAAGAGAAGATGTATGTCTACATCTATTTATAAGCCAACTAATACCCATGTAAACCCAAATTTTCATCAACACGCCATGGACAAATACAATATTGTACGAAAATCATTTAACATTCTTTCTTGGTAACCCTCTTACTAGTAGAAATCATTTCAAACCATATAAATAGAGATAGAGATGATCTCTGCATTAAGAGAGGAGACGATATTCCTCTTTGATCATACATCATTTCCCTTCCATTAATTTTCTTTCGAGTCCTTTTTAGGTTGTGTGATCGCACGAGCTTTATGTGACCCAACATCATACAATAATTCAAATATATATATAATAATGAAAAAAAATATGATAATATCGATATATATATATATATATATACATATATGTATATATATATATATATATAATAAAGGAAAAAGTATTTGTATTTCTTGATGCACTCATTCCATTATAAAAAAGATGGTATTCATACAAGTATTCTACAGAATCAAGCCTTATATATAAGATTCTGTTTTTAGTAACTGCGGCAACTTGCAACGCGTATTTGACTTCCGAGACTTTTAGTTTTTGTTTGCAATCGTTGGGTCAACTCTGCAATTCTTGCTAATAATATATACAAACGAACAATAAAGACTTTTAGAGTTTGATTAAGTTCGTCAATCCGCCACTTAAAAAAATCGAGAAAATTCCTCCGTATGTGTGTGTATATATTGTTGTATGTAAGTAGGGGTGTAAATGAGCCGAACATGAGCGAGCCTAGCCTCAGCTCGTGTTTGACTTGTTTATGTTTCGAGCTCAAAAAGCGTGTTCGTGTTCGGCTCGTTTGCTTAGGGAGGCGAACAAGGAGCCGTTCACGAACAAAGAATCGTTTTGACAGCCCTGATAACGCAGCCATAAGATGTTAATGATTGGGGCAAGATTTAAAACATCATTTGAATCTAATTTAATATTTTTTATTCTATTTTCTTCATTAATACTTTTAATTTATTATAAATCTTTGTAGCATTGATTAATTTTTTTTTTTTTTAAAATACTACTCATCAAAGATAAATATATAATTGATTAGTAGTATTTCGAGTCAAAACGAGTTGAACACGAACAAACATATTTGTTCGTTGTTCGTTGTTCATGTTCGACTCGTTAATAACAACGAGCCATTTTGACAGCCCTATATGTAAGGATATTATGAAGGACAAATTTTAAAAATTTACATTTCTTAAAAATTTAATATTTTAAATGGACAAAATCATCACGTCACGTGATGACATGTGTCGCCGTGGACACATGGCAACTTTGTCACATGCTTTTAATAATTAAACCGGGAAAATTTGGGCTGCTAATTTAGGAAGTATTTTACAATATGTTGTTATTTCCAAACAATTCCCTAGAGATATTTTTCAACTTATTCATATGGATTTGCTTTATTAAGTGAAGTGAGTTTTTTTTTTCCATTTCTATGGGAGAGGAACCTTAGATTTTCTTCTTTTGTGTGAGTAATAAGGGTGTGTAGTAAGTAGGGGTGTCGTTTATATTTCGAGCTCAAAAAATGTGTTTGTGTTCGACTCGTTTGCTTAGCGAGCCGAACACGAGCCGTCCACGAACAAAGAGTTATTTTGACAACTCTAATCACGTAGTCATCAGATGTTAAGGATTGAGACAAAATTTAAAACATCATTTGAATCTAATTTAATAATTTTTATTTTATTTTCTGCATTAGTACTTTTAATTGATTATAAATCTTTATAATCTTGTAGTCAATTAAATTTTTAAAAAAGCACTCATCAAAGATATATATGATTGATTAGTAGTATTGAGTCAAAACAAGCCGAACACAAACGAACAAATATTTGTTCGTGTTGTTCGTATTCGGCTCATTAACTTAACGAACAAACTGAATACAAACTTCTTAACGAGCCGAACATGAGCTGTTCACGAACAGCAAGCCGTTTTGACAACCCTAGTCAACCCTAGTAGTAAGTACCTCTTGCCTTATTTTATATTTTTATTTTAGTTGGAATAAAATTTCCTTGTGGGGTTTATATTAAAAAAAATAAAACAAAATAAAGTAAAAACACTTTCTTAAAAAAATTATCATTTATAATATTTATAATATGAAACATTAAAAAATAAAAAAATACTATTAGAACAAAATGAGAATTTATTTTAAAAATAATTCACTATTTTTGTAAGAATAAATCACTTGAATTCACATTATATATATATATATATATTTGTAGAAAGTCATTTAAAAATTACTGAATTGTGGCACCATTATTAAATATTTTTGGCCCCACCATAAAGGTAATATTGTTGCTATTATTGCTGCTGCTATTCTTATTCTTGTTGCTGCTGCTATTGCTTTGCTAACATTGCTGATGCTTCTGCTCTTGCTTCTATGCTTCAGCTGCTCTTCCTCTTGGCTCTATGATAATAATTATTAGCATTTAAATAAAACACCGGAACAAAAATAACCAATTATTTAGACAATTGCTAGCTAGTTAATAATGAGTAAAATATCTAAAATATTTTCAGCAGTGATTCCATATGTCAAACTAATTTTTCTACATCAAATCTTAATCCACTAAATATGCATGCCTTTCCGAGTACAATTCCTACCATCAAATCAAAATACATGATGGTTGCTTCAAAATTCTAACCATCGTTAAGAAAAGCCGCAATCCACTACATCTATTTCACAAAAAATATTATGTACAGAGTACGCACGCAGTTCTGCGTGAGTATAGAGGTTATTCGGGAGGTATTTTGGGTTAACACCCTAATAACGTGACAAAACATCCGAAAAACAGCAAAAAATATGAGCACAGAACCGCAAAATGTATTGGTAGGTTATTGCGGGATTATTAAGAGGTTATATTCCAATAACCTCTCAATAACCCCAATAACTGAGTTATTGGAAGGTTATTTACGGGAGTACACACGTAAAAGTGCATGTGAATTTCGTGCGTAAATAACGCTCCTATTTCACACAACTGCTTGGAGAGACTTCAGAATCAAGCCTTCACGGAGCCAATCATGAACCTGTCTCTTTCAGAAATTCAGTTCTTTGCAGAGGCTGCTAGTATCCGGTACAATCCCCTCATTATAGTTTCTGACAATGCTGTGACCAGCCAAATCCCTCAATAAGTCAGATGGATGCTTCGCTCCACCGTATTGTAAGAACTTTGTTCTGATTGCTGTTCCAGTGGCAAGAGACAAGGGATCATCTTGGCAAACTTTCTCCCAGATTGTGGCCGCAAAGCATTTTGCGTAAAGATAACTATAGTAACCTACGATGATTATAAACAAAATCAGATATTTGATCTAGAAACAATCTGGGAAAGAAACATAAATATAGCACAATCTACCGGCTCCATAATTTACAAGATGACTGAATCGAGTGTGCCAGTGTGTGCCATCCTCCACATGTTTCCAACTGGTGTATTTCCTTTTCAAATCGGCGACAATGGAGATTGTGTCCATTGGATCAGCAGACTGTTCTCCAAACAGTGTCAAGTCGACTAATGAGTAGAATATCTGCAGACAGAAATGTATACAGCAAATTAAGTGTTCCACACAAATATTATGAATTTACATATATAGCACTCAAAATTTGATATTTGCATGTATAATACCTTAATGTCATTGCGTGCAATAGTGCATTTCACTCTTTAAAAGATAATAATGGTAATATGTTTATATGATATTAAAGATTTGAATGGAATGCATGTAAACATGAATGCTTAGTGTTATATATGTAAATACAAAAGAATTATTTGGTTTGAATGACACCTGGCAAGATTAAAAAGAAATAAAAATTAAAAAACTAATTTTAATTTTGTCCGCAAAGGGTGAGGAATTATGGCTAGAAATACCTGGCGCTGCAGTTCCATAGCAGAAAACATGTTCCTTGCGTGATTCATACTATTAACCAGTTTTTCCGGAATAATTTCACCAGTTGAATAATGTCTGCCAAACATTTTTAAAACACGATAATCCCAAGCGTAGTACCTATAGACAAAATTGTTAGGCCGTATGTTTCATTTCAAATTACAAAGTCATGGGACATAATGAAGTCAGGGAAGAAAGAGAGCAAGAAAAATTTAACCAGTTTTCTCTGATTGAGTATGATTCTGCAACACTCATAATTCTTTAATTCAATTAATCATTTCCTTTCATTCATATTCTAAATTTGTCAAAAATGAAGCAGACTATCTATCTATATATTAATGATGTAAGCAAGAGCACAATAAGGGCACTGGTATAGCATATGAATTTAATTTTTCGTGTCAATAATCTGCGACGCTAATGAATAACCATAGTGCGTTATTACATTCAGACTTGACAAGTAAAAAGTAATCCATGAAAACATGAACAAATAAAAAATATTTTGAAAAGTAGCTCATAGGATCACTTAGAATATTGAATAGTGTTTCTTCAGTTAAAGGTGATAAACTGGGAAGAATACTGGTTCACAACCATAAACTAGCACAGTTTTTTCGAATATTAGGATTAACATCACGTCCTTACGACCAAATCATAGGATGATAAACTTCTTACAGCTTAGTCAACGATTCTAAGCCTATGTCAAAAATCTAAATCAGAAAATTGGAAAAGCAAGCGGTTCTTAAAGGTTGGAAAAAAGAATATAGATAAGGATAACGTAATCTTCTAACTTTGATGCAGGAAACTCTGTCGGAAGTTAGCTTTCCTGCAATCATAATATAGAATTACTGAAATCCTATCAACTACATTTACTTGGTGACGAAGTTAAGTTGCAACGTGAAACAAGTTTATTATCTCATGGTTGTCGAAGCAGGCCTGGCATGATAAAGGGCTGTTATGTCAAAAGCGAATATAGAAGATTTCAGAGCAAGGCATGCGGTTTGGTCTGTACAAGCAAACTGCCTCAACTTTGAGCAGTAGCTGCCACGGCACCAGACCAAAAACACATAAATGTACCAGAATGAAGAGCTGAAAATGGAGAAAGAAAAATAATTGTCCAAAGTTGACTAGTCTTTGTAAATACAATAGGAGTACAAATGAGTTATATATAAACTGGAACTACTTCAACTCAAAATTAAAGAGGTGATTTTCATGAAGTGCTTCTCAAAACGTGACTGCATGCCTTGTTTTCTATCACATATGGAACTGTACTGCTTTGTATGCTTTTATTTTTCATTTTTTTTTAAGATCAATTACTGGAATTAGATATATTACTTTGCAGGTTTCATACGAAGGATTTATCCCACGCACAACTCCTACATATAAAGAAATTGACAATTTTACACCCCTGGCCCAATTCATTGTTTGCCAACCTAAAAATTTGCAGCTTTCAAGTTATATCGCTTTAACCAAAACATTATGCAAGCATTTGACATTGTTTCAAGTTTGTACTACCTTAATTTGTCACAATCTTCAGCTTCCCAATCTTTTTCCGTCAAATAAGAGAGCACAGTGCCCATTCAAAGTGAATCAACTAAAGAACAAATTTAAAAATACAAAGCTCATGAAAAGATTTTTCTTCCATTAAAAAAATATTAAAAAGTCACCATAAGATAGCATACTCAAAAAGGTTTGACGGGGTCTCAGCCAAGTCAAGGACCACTCTGGTGCCTGAGAAGTGCTGATAATCCTATCAAAACATTTCCATACAATTAGTGCTTATCAAAACTCAAAGATGAAGTGTTATCAATTATTAAAAACACCAAATACCGTTCTTGAAAGAAGGGAATGAAGAGCATGACCAAACTCATGAAAGAGGGTTTCAACATCCCAGTGATTAAGCTTTGAAATTGATGATCCCTGTGAATTCGGGAAATTGCAGACCAAAGCAACAATCTAGCATCATTAACACAAAAGAACTTCATTAACACAAAAGTGTGATGAGCAATTAACACAAAAAAAGATTGGTAAGTAAACATTGAAAAAAACAAACTCGTCTACAACTTCAGCATGGGTCACTATGGCTTCTGCTTAAAAATCACAACAATGGGGTTTCATAAAAGCAGCAAATTAATTTTACTCAATGGACAAATTATGGTGAGCAATTCGATAGATAAAGAATGTGAATCAAAACATCTAAACCTAAAGTCGCATTATTCTTGAGTAATGTTTAGAAGTAGCCATTATTGATTGTAAACTAAGAATGCTTGCAAAAAAATTCCAATAGATGACCAAGTTTCAACAAATCACCATGACCCAAGGAAATAATGGAGGTGGAATCCCACTGTACAAGTGCTTTCATAACAGTGAAAACAAAAATAATAGCATACTAAATGCATGAGGTTCCCAACAGTGGAAGCAACATAACTTAAGGCAGTAACAAGATCAAAATTTAAATATTTTCACATGCAAATTTTGCAAGGAAAATGTGCCTTCTACCTACTTAATAAAATCCCGTGATACAAGATAAACTCTCCTTTGAAATGTAGAGCAATAGCACCAATATAAAATAAAAGGTCGTAAAAGTGCAAGAGATTATCATACAGGCAGTTGATATTGTGCATCAGATAACCGACGCCCACCTCTGACGGCAAAATGCGCACAACCTGGATATTTACCATCCCTGGAGTAAAGATCTAAATACAGGAACCCCATATCACCCTGTTTTTAAGATTAAAATAAATAAGAATTTAATTGAGTCAAAAGGGTTTATGTCTAATAAATAGAAGAAACATAAAGTATCTTTAAAAGACAAGCAATAACAAACCTTGATTGAAACACAAAACTAGGCTACTCATACAACTTCAAAACATGGAAAGCTTTTGACCATACCAACTCAGCAGGTAGGACACCATATTCACTAAACTTAGCTTCATTAATTTTGCAAATGCTGCAAGCAAGGATCTCCACAACTTAATAATTTTGAAGGAGCCACTTCAAGATCCAGTAAATAGATTGATCCAAAAGTTACCTTTCATTAGACCTCATAGACTTAAGGAACTAAATAGTATTATAGTTACGGGAACGATTTCTGACAGGAAAGTTACTTTTATGGGTATAATGCATGCCAGGGTTAGTGCTCAGGTTATTTAGTTACTGAATGCGGATCCCAAATTTCTATTACTGAACTCGCTTATGTAGTAACTAGAATTTAACTACGTGAATTGAGCAAAAACATAAGGTAGAATTCAATTCTGACTCAACAACATGGCAATCCATAGCAAAGCAGCTTAAAAGCATAAAGATTCTGTATCTGTAATAAATTTTATTTAGACTAAACAATACTCCGACATATACTTTGAGAGCTGTTAATGATGAAAATTCCATGGCTGTACAAAGGAACTCTTGTTTTAAGGTTCAGCTATCGACTGGAGAAGAGATCTTGAAGCATATAGTGTCCTGCAAAGAGGCGGTTCCAATAAGAGTTCAGTGCCTCCATAAGAGCTGAAATCCATAGGAGAAGCATTTAATGCTCAAATTAGTATCGATATACCTACTCTAACCAAAGAGTGCGTGCAAAGCTATATTTTTAGGCGTCTCACCCCTTGAGATTTAAGCTCTGAGAGAAAAAAAGGTAAATAAAAGAACCTTACTAAAGTTGTCTGGGGCACCCCAACGTATGGAGCTGAACAAGGGTAGTGTAGAAATTTAGAAAGGTTGCTGGGAGTTCCGAATCTAGGACTACACCTATATTCTGATAAGCCCTAAGTTGATATTCCCTATGATAGGGATTAGTTTGGTGATTTAGCAAATCTGAGGGCATTGTGTTGATTACACAGATTACACAGAACAATCATACTCCAATGATGATGGATGGCAAGATCACAGAACTGATGGCCCAGATAATGGCGTTGCTAACGTTTGTGCATTTGAATTCAAACCAAAGGCTTTGATACCACATTTGATTGCAATCCAAAACAAATGCTCAGATTTCGGAGAAGAGCTACAAGACTGACGTTTATAATAATCTGAATTAAATGACAGGATCTGGGCTCGGCTAAGGACTCTTAGATCATTCTTAATAAGCATACAAATCAAATGTTTTGATCAAACAATATCTATAAGCACAATATCAATGAGCTTCATCAAAATGGTTAAGTCAATCAACACAAATTTTGGTGCAATGGAACAAATTTAAGGCAAAAAGAACCATGCCTCATCTAAATGTCATTGGGAGAGATTTGTTCCAGCACAAATCATAAAGCCCTTAACTGGGTAACCACCATATTTCAAGGATCATGCTATAGATACGTTTTTATCTGGACATTCCATAGATGTCTAAAAAATGATTAAAATAGTAGAGTTCAATCACATCAGGAATTATGGGTTAATTTCCACAATTTTGATATTAATGTGTTAAATAACAAGTACTATATAGTATCCATTTAAAAAAATTTTGCATATGTTATGGCCAAAAGTATAATGAAATATTGAGGAAAAACACTCATAAATTGCAGTTAACCTTTGACCCCCAATAAATTATGTGCGCCCAGGGGAGCTAAACCCCCATCCTCGACTTGACCCGTTAGTTAGCTTATTGTTGGAGCCAACTTATCTCCTTTGGCTATAAGCATCATCAGGCATGTTGATGTAACTAGGCTATGAAATATTTGCAGCACATTAGTTTTCTCAGACTATGCCTTCGTTGATATGTGAGTTCCACCCTTTGACTAACCATTAAAAATTTTTCATTCATTGGTCAATGCATTAGTGTTATTATTAATGTCCTTGGCATTATCGTCATTTTGGACCTCAAGCTTGGATTAGAAAGAGTGAAAGTTGAATTTAGATTCGCAACTAGTGGTATAGCTTCATGCCTATAATAAAAGAAATCCTTTGACTTTTGGAAGTTCTAAAGCATTCCAATGAAACAATGCACCAAAACCTATACCAATTGTGGTGAGAATCAGGTAAGGGTGGGCTAGGATTTCACCTTAAGCGAAGCATTACAAATTAGCATAAGAATGGTGAAAAGCAAATAGGTTTGGGCAATGATGTTATTGCTGCCTTTTGTAATAACCGGGAAAGCTAAATAAATTGAATGGTGTGTCGGTTTGACAGAGCCTACATGCCCGTTCGGGAACGCTTATTTGGTGCAGTGGCGTTATGAAAACGCCGTCTACGCGTTTGTTTAATGCGTTCGAGTGGCATTTTCGTAACGCCGTCATTCGAGTGTATAGCATACGCGACCGCGGGATCGACCCCACGGCCCGCGTTCGTTCGCTATGTTTTACCTGGCTGCCATTCTCTCCTCTGCCCTAAAGCGATCCCAAATCCCTCAAGCTCTCGTGCTGGATTCGACTCCACACTGCTCTTACGCCTCGCATCTGCTATAAAATTCCTCTCTACCCTCTCGTAGCGGTCAATCTGTAGGTATTGCATGGAATGATTTTCTTTAGTTGGTGCTCCTGCAGTTGGATTTTGTTTGTTGGATTTCCTTGAGTAATGCTAGGCTTTCGAATGATTTGCTATATGCAATTTTCTCATTTTTCGAATGTGTTTGACATTTCAGTATGTTCCTTCTCCTCTCAATTTCTTCTTCCGAGTTGTGATTTCAGTAGGTTGCTATGTTGGGATTTTTGTATTGTCATTTTAGTATGTTTCTTTGGTTGGATTTGCTTAGAGAGCAAGCTATGCTTGCAGTGCAATTGGCCTTGAAGGGAGTATGTTCGAATTAGCAGTTTTAGTGAATGGTTGCAGGGCAGTTGGGATCTATGCTTGTTCTTAAGCTGTTTGGATCAATGCATGTTCGAATGCTTTTTTAGTGAATGGTTGCAGGACAGTTTGGATCTTATTATACTTGTTCTTAAATTTTTTAGTGAATGGTTGCTGAGCAGTTTATAGCTGTGAATTTGAAGCAGATTATTTTCATAGAAAAGTTTGGTATGTTTGCAAAACTTTTGCATATGATTCCAGGTGGTGTTTAAGGTGTTTCATGTTTAAATGCATATGAATTGGTTGGTATGTGTGCAAAGCTTATGCATATTATTGGAGGTGGCCTTTAAGGTGTTTTATGTGTAAATGCATACGAATTGGTTGGTACGTACGCAAAGCTTGTGCATGCTATTGCAGTTGGCCTTTAAGGTGTTTCATGTGTAAATGCATGTGAATTTGTTTGTATGTATGCAAAGCATCTGCATACTATTGCAGGTAGCGTTTTATGTGTAAATGCATAAGAATAGGTTGGTATGCATGTATATTACTTTAGGTGTTTCATGTGTAAATGCAAAAGAATTGGTTGGTATGTATGCATATCACTAGTAGCTATAGTAGTGCTATCGATTTTTTTGGAAGTTTAAATATAAATGTCAATCACACGTAGCTCCATAGTTGTTTATTATGAGTTGTTTCATGTGTATATGCATACGAATTGGTTGATATGTATTAAAAAATTGTGCATACTATTGCAAATGGCCTTTTCTGTGTCAATGCATATGAATTGGTTGGTATGTATGCATACCATTTTAGGTGTTTCATGCGTAAATGCATAAGAACTGATTGGTATGTATACATATCGCTTCTTACCTAATATAGTATTGTAGGTATTTATTGAGCTTACATATAAATCCCTTTCATTATGAGTTGTTTCAAGTGCAAATGTATAAGAAGGTCTACAAAGCTTGTGCATACTATTGCAGGTAGCGCTTTTTGTGTAAATGCATAAAAATTGGTTGGTATGTATGCATACTGTTTTAGGTGTTTCATGTGTTGTTTGTATGTATAAGGAGAAATTAAAGTTTATGTGTAGGATATGTAATGCAAAATAATTGTGTGGTACAAATGTAGAATTTGAAGTTTAGTTGTTAGATGTATAATATGATATATTTAGTGATGATAACTGATATGAGGCACAAGGTGAATGTGAATTCCTTGTGACTTCATAACAACAGGGAGATTTTGAGGGTCATCCCCAACCTACAAAGCTTTTGGTGGTTATGAATTGATTATTGATATTGAATTGAACAAGATAGATAAATGTCTTTATACTTGTGATAATCATGGGGCCCTTCGAATGTTTTTTGGTGTTTTTTCCTCAGTTTTTAATGATTGAGCCCCAACTTCCAATGTTTACAGACGTTTTTTTTCTTTGATTTGTGGTATCTAATTCGAATTATTTCGTCCTATTTGTGTAATGGTATAACAAGATATTCTTGTTATATGTTAAGTTAATTTGTTTAACTATAATATCTTGATTTAGTTCCAACATGACTAAGATGAATGAAGGGGGTCCGTCGACAATGTGGGATAACGAACATTTTCTACAATCTGTGTATTAAAGAAATTGAGTTCGGAAATAGGCCAGCCACGTATTTTAACAATGAAAGTTGGCAAAATATTACAAAGTGGTTCAAAGAATTGATGACAAGGGATTACGACAGACTCGAATTCAAAAACAAATGAGATCAATTGAAGGAGTGGAAGATATGAAATGAGCTGAAATTTGGATCCACAAGATTGGGTTGGGATCTTATTAAGCGAATAATTGATGCTCCAGATGGGTTGAGAAATTAGAGATAACAATTATACTCTACTTTGGTTTATTATCGTTTTTTTTTGTTTTAACTAATATGCTCTCTAACCCCCTCCCCCACAATGTTACATGCAATACCAACAGCCAAAAAATAAAAGCAGTACAGAATTAACCCTGAGTTGAAAGATAA